TTTTTTTTTTTTTTTTTTTGACGTTTTGAGGAGGAAAACTTTGAACAACTGATTTTTTTAGTCCTTTTTTGATGGGCTGAAAGGATTGAGTTTGTGTTTGAGTTTCAGTGCAGAGATGAATTTCCAGTCATGGTAGCTTAGTACGATGCTCAGGATGGAAACCTGACTTTTTGACTAACTGAATATCATGCATATGTTTCTCTCAATCAACTTATGGTAATGAGTATATTTGTTCCTCGTTTTGTTTAAGGGAATGGCAGGCAGAACATTCCACAAACGCTTGAAAGATCAAGAGAATTTGAACCCCTGAGTTCGAAGGAAACGCAATTAATCCCACAAGACACCATTCACTTGCCTGATTTCCAGTTCAATTAGCTCCAAAAGTAACCGAAAACTAATAGTACTAAACACTATTTAGACCTAATTAAGCATCAGATTTAGTGTAGTTAAGACAAGGTAAGCTCCTAAGTGAAATCGTTTGAAAAGCCAACGTAAGTACACATTCTTATCAGTAATCTGTCTCTAGGTGATGCCAAGTTGTTGGATAAACAGCAAAGGAACCTATCTTGCTAGACCTCACCAGATAGTTTGCATTTTGCAAATTAGGTGTGATCAATTTTGAGATAGATTGTTAGAACTTGATTTGACCAATAAGATGTGTTGATTGCCTGTAGTTCTACAACTGAGACCGTGAGTTTATTCCACAAGTATGTCCACCCCCCCTCCCCCACACAACAAGCCCACATATAAGAAGTTAAAGAACGCAATTCTTGATGGACTTGTTCCCTGGGTAAAAAGTAAATACTGGGAGGATAATAATACTGCGAGACACAGACTGAGGATAACATCATATACTTACATGATTGATTTATTTCTCTAATCTTGTTGCAAAGCTTCCAATACAAATTGATAAAGGGTTGAGGGTCTGTTTGCAAACAAGTTTTTGGCGTTTGTCTTTTACAAGTTTTTTAACAACTTTAACTACAATAATCTCAAAAAACTCCTCAAAATTTTTAAACTATATACTTCAAAATAGTCAAAATTTTTTCAAAGTTTTAGATAAATATCCAAAAAACTCATTTGTCAAACGGGATCTGAGTTTATACTTCTGGTCATGGCCACTGGTTTAATATATTTAAACCATCATTTTCTTATTGCCACTGGTTTAACATATTTAAACCTTTGAGAGATCAATGATTCAAATCTTATCTTCCACCAAATGTCACAATATGTGGCTTCTCTAAAAAAATCTATATGAGTGCGTAGTACACCTGTCTGATCCAATAGTAATTCAGTTTCCATTGATTCCCTATAGACTCAGTTGGACCTCCCCGTAGTTAGGATAGAATAGGATAATATATATAAAGTCCCCTTAGATGTCCCTATTGGTCCCCCGTAAACACAATTGAGCCTTCTCTTAGATTAGTATAAAGTAGGATGATGTAAATAAAATTCCCTTAGATTAGGATAAAGTAGGATAATATAGATAATGTGACGACGACAAAAGAAAAAACCATCATTTTCACTTGAGCATAGGCCTCTCAAATTAAGATAAAATAGGATAATATAGATAAAATCCCCTTAAATTAGGATAGAACGGGATAATACGGATAAAGTGCGGATGAAAAAAAAACATCATTTTCACTTGAGCATCGGCATAGACTTCTGCTTTTCTCTAAGCTTTGAACAGCTTCTGAGACCATGACTTTGTCGGCTTGCCTTTTTAACACTTCTATCCGACAGTATCGATGGAATATTCTCTCTAATTTTCATCTTCATACGCCGTAAGTTTAGCTTCATTGTTGGGGCCAGCATAACATTTTTTTAATTGAAAAAAAGGAAAATCGTCCAAAACGTCTTTTACTAAAATAATTTTTTTGTCCTTCACTTTTAAAAGTGTAATTTTATATCCCTTACATATTCACATCGATCAAATTTAGTCCCTAACTAGATTTTCGATCATTTTTTAGTCGGAATCCATCACGTGCAAGGCACGTAATCATTTTTGAAGGGTAAATTTGTCAAATTATATTTTACATAATTTAATCTATAGTCCTACATTTTATAAAACAAAATTTTTCGTCCCTCATATTTTATAAAATAATTTTTTCATCCCTCACATTTCACAAAATGAATTTCTCCATTCCTCACATTTTCAAAAAATGAATATTTTCATCCCTCATTAATTATGTGTGTAAGGGAAACCCTAAAAAATATATATATATATATATATATGTGTGTGTGTGTGTGTGAATACATTTTATTTAAACACATATATATGTCTATTTGATTTTGCTTTAATAATACAAATAGAATAAATATATGTATATGTCTATTTGATTTCACTTAACAATATGAATACCATATATTATACGTGATCATTTGATTTTATCTGATATTAGCTAGTAAAAAATCTTGCATTCATTGTCAAGTTGGTCAATAAAGTTATTTTCGGTCAAAATACAATAAGAATATGCAAATTAAGGTTCTATTGGTAAATATTAGTCATAATCATACAAAAAGAGAAGATAGCCCACAAATTGGGCCCAATTACATACATGTGTTTATGCTATTATTATTAAATAAAATCAAATAGACATATACATGTGTTTAAAAAAAATGTATTCACACACATAATTAGTGAGAAATAAAAAAATTCATTTTTTGAAATGTGAGGGATGGAGAAATTCATTTTGTGAAATGTGTGGGATGAAAAAAATTATTTTATAAAATGTGAGGGACGAAAAAAAATTTATTTTATAAAATGTGGAGGACTATAGATCAAATTATGTAAAATATAATTTGATAAATTCAAATTAATCCAAAATTTTTAGCAAGAAAGCCTAATGAAATTTTCTCCATAACTATAATTAAAAACTCATTACCAAATAACTTATTGAAGGAAAAATCTAGTACTGCATAACTTTGTACTATAAGTAGTTAATTTTTGGCATGGCATGGCATGGCCTGTGCTCAAATTTTCAGTATATAGAAGTATGTGTATGTGTAGTGGCGGTGTGGTTGAGAGGCGGCGGGGTAGCACCACAAGTGGTAGAAACAGTCTCTCCACCACTTAAAAACGACACCCTCCACTTGTCAGACACTGGCTATCACTCTACTCCGCTCCTCTACTCTTAACTAACTTCACTCTCTTCTCATCCACAACCAACTAACTTCGACTAAAAACTAGGACTTCCGTCACTTTACTACACAACACCACACAACCTTCACTCTTGTCTGGTCTCACCCACAATCCATGCCACTTTTTATGTTGTCATGTTTATCTTTATCTTAAACTGTGTAAAAAGCGCAGGAAGCAGCACCAGCTTATATATATTTTACTGCTGCCACTGCTACGTACAACCATTTCAAGTACTCTTGCATTCTTAACTCGCCACCAATTGTACTGAAAAACACACTCACTAGAAGTCCTAATCTCTCCCCAAAAAACAAAAAAAAAAAGAAAGGAAAAAAGTGCTAACAATGGGAATGGCGGAAGATCATGTTGGACAATTGCAAGAACCAACTTTCAAGCACTTTTGCAGGGTATGCAAAAGAGGGTTTGGATGTGCCGGAGCTCTGGGGGGTCACATGAGGAGCCATGCTGTTGGAGATGTTCGGATGCATCAATCGAGTCGCGATCAAGAAATAGGCACCAGCAGCTTCATGAGAAGCAATAAGGGGGAAGGAGGAAGCAAGCATTCGTACTTCCTCCGAACCAATTCCACCAATCGATTCACCGGTGCTTGTCGAGCTGGTGAAGATCTTCAAGAATTTAATAATAAGAGGACCTTCACCCGCTCTGCTTTCCATGATGAACGCGAGAAATTTTCATCTTCCGTGTCGTCTTCTGAATCTGAGGTTGAAGAGATGATGCTCAAGTCCGCGCGAGCAAAATCCAAAAATTACGAGGACCGGCATTGTGCCGCCTCCAGCGAAGAAGAGGATCTCGCGAATTGTTTGGTGATGTTGTCAAACGAATCATTTGTTCAGTCGGATAAGGAGCAGGAAAACACGGACAAACACGTGGAAAAAGGTACGTTCCAGTGCAAAGCTTGTAAGAAAGTGTTCAATTCCCACCAAGCACTGGGGGGACATAGAGCCAGTCATAAGAAGGTGAAAGGTTGTTATGCTGCCAGATTCAACTGCAGCACCAACCTCAATGATCAGGATAATGACAATAATTACGAAGATGCCTTCTACCAACACGAGGAACATTTGGCTCCGTCAGAAAATTCTTCAGAGCCAGGGCTTGATCTTGATTTCTCACCTCATCATGATCACCTTCCAAAAAATACTACATTGTCAAAAAGGAAGTCCAAAGCTCATCAATGTTCGATTTGTCAGAGGGTGTTTTCATCAGGACAAGCCTTAGGTGGGCACAAAAGATGTCACTGGCTAACCTCAAACTTACCTGATAATACTATCATACAGAACTTACGTGAGCTCCAATTTGATAGCCAACAACTATTCAAGAAGCCTATGCTCACAAAACCCGAGCCACTGCCTCTTGATCTCAATTTCCCTCCATTGCTGAACAATGCGGTTGATAATCTGCACATGAACTCAGCTGATGATCCCCTCAATCACGAAGCCCCAGCTAGAATTTTTCTCCAACTGTGGGGTAACGAAGAGGCTGACAACAGTACTAGTAATAATAATCATCAGCAGAACTATACTACTAAAAGCGTGGTTCGTGGTTCATTGCATGATGAGGACGAAAGTGCTAAAGAAGATGGTTATAGAACGGAGCAGACTGCAAAACTGAGTAATCTGAAAGATATGAATTTGGATGGAGGGTCTTCTCGGTGGTTACAGGTGGGGATTGCTTCAACTACTGATATCACAGCCACCCCATGAAGTGATTGTTAGTGTTAGTAATTAATTAGTTATCTACTTTAAGCAAGACTTGTAATTATTACATGTTCTTCCATGTTAAACATAGATATATTTGATTGTCTCTCTGGTGGAAATTCAATTTACAATTTCATCAATTTGTGCTCTATTTTTTTTCCTACTGCCAATATTGAGTCTGCTGCCTTTTTTAAAAACAAAGAAGTGATAGTATATATTTTGTAGCTAATGGCATTACGGATTTTTTTTTTCTTTTTTTTGTGGTCTTATCTCTAGGGGGCCTCCCTCCCTACTGTCATATCCAGGTTCAAATCCTGAATCTGGCATTTGAGAGTGAAGGGAGGGGTTAAACAAAAAACTTTTGTGTTTTATGCAGATACGGAAGAAGAACATACAAATATATCGAAAAAAAATGTGGGAAAGAATGAAGAAGCTAGCATGTTGTGTATATGGAGTCGGCTGTGTTGGCTAAATGCTGGCATGAGAATCACATAAAAAACTGTTTACCCAAGCTGCGAAGTCAAAGTCAGATACAAAGTACTAATAAAACCATGTGATTAATTAGGACATTTACAATTGATCGTTCTTCCATAAATTACCCCATATGCATGGATTATTTTTTCAATCAGAGGAAAATGCATGGAGCTTGGTGCTTCACTTCTCCTATCAATGTATTGTCTAGAATTGAAGTGAAAAAGAGCAGTTGCCTGTTATTACATGGTGTAAGAAAAAATGGTTGATTTTTTTTGTTTTCTCTGCTACTTTTAATTCATTGAAATCGTTAGTACTCATGTCATACGTAGCTGGTTCACACCATTTTGAAAGGCCTCCACCCCAGCCCACCACAAATATCATATCACATACGGTACCGGCGGCCAACAGGACATCATGCCCTGTGTCTCCAGCCGATCATCTTCAACGAAGACCAGCTAAACATAGAGCCAAAAATTGTGCTCCTGTTCTAGCTCATGCAGGGAGTTGAAGGTCCATCTACAAAGGACCACCCTGTATCACATATTTATAGCTCCTTCTTTATGAATTAAAGGGTGCCGTGAGATGTTAGTGATTTGCTGCAACTTTGTCGGTCATTATTAGCTCTAAAAGTCTACACTATATTACAAGACGGACGCTATGACATAGAGTATGGTTAAGGATGCTAACAAGTTTGATCAAATTGAACACCTAGTATTTAAGCTTATTCGATTGTTTTAATGAATTCAAAATTTTGTTTAAATTTGGCTTGTTTATTTGTAAAACCAAATTTCAAGAGTGAAGTGAAAGCAATGGTTAACCACTGGGCCAGGCCTCTGGCCCAGTGGCCACCATCTCTTTGGTGGGGTCCACCAGAAATACCACGTTTCAGTGGTTTGTCTCCAAAAATTCAGGCGGATGTACTGTGTACTCGTCTGGTTCGGTGGTGGTTCAGTCCTTTCCGGTTTATCCCTGGGCCTACTTAGGTCCGCCTCCTTCCCCTTAGTATAGGATAAATTAGGTTTATCGTCTCCGAAAAAAAAAAAAAAAGTGAAAGCAATGGTTAGAAAAGTGCAAACGCATCCAGAAATCGAGGAATGCCTCTGCTGTGGATGGCAATGAGTTTCTGATTTTTAGATTAATATCTCAGACTTTTCCACAAGATCGAGATGCTTATGGGCATGCTCTTATTTGTTTGTAGTTTCTTAAATTATTGCAAATAAGTTATTGGAATTTTGAAAAAAAAAAAAAGAAGTAATTTGTAATAGAAAACTTAATAATTTACTCTATAAAGTCATATTCTGAAGGTTTCCTTTTTCCTTCTTCCAATATTAAAGTCATCAAAATCAAGCAAAGGATAAAGGTTGGAAATATACTTAATTACTAGTAGAACATAGTCCCTTGACTTGATAGGCCTCCTCCGTAACATTTCGTTGGAAGGAAAAATTCCGCTGCCAATTGCAAATGTCATTAACATTTTTCCTTTGATTTGTATTATATTATATGCCTTCAAATGGACTACTAATTAGTAATATAAATCATCTTAAATTAAATCTAAATCTACCGACTATGACTCAAAGAATCAGCCGAGGGCTTGCGTGACAATGAAGGGCGGGGGAGGGGTGAGAATGGCGCGTGGGAAACAAAGCATGCGCAATAACAGGACACGTCCATGTACTGCAGATCATACCTGTTCTTTGTATCCGTGGCCATTGGCATCTTCAACTTTCTCAAAATTGGCTGCCTAGGAATGCGTGTAATCATGTTTGGGGCATATCAACGAGACAGTTCGTATCTGATTCGTACAATTAGTGTCAATTTTGGTTCAGAAATTAGCGTCAAATTTGTTTCGGCGTAGATTTATTGAATCGTTTATGCCTTGCCTTCTTCATCTGCGTTCATGGAGCATTACAAATTTACAAATTGAAGTTCTTGAAGGTTGCATTTTCAAGTTGACCGTTCCTTATATAGATTAAAGTAGAGTAAGAGTTGACAATTGACCAAAAAAAAAAAAAAGAAAAAGAAAAAAGGTTCAAGTTCCCTACTAAACATTATTGTTGTTGTTATTAATCACAAAAGAGAAAAAGCAAATTAATGCTTTGATGTTGTAAAGAGTGCAATAAAATTAGTAGCAAAGTTTATAATAATGGTAAATACTAGAGAAATAAAAAAGGCTAATTAAAAAGGTTTCTGTAAGGTAAACAATGAAAAAAAAAAAAGAAAAGAAAAATCCAATCATTGCAAACGCTCTCTGCATAGGAATCCTATACAATTTTTTTATTATTATAGGATCAATGTTTTTACATTATACAAAAATGCAGCATCTATTCTAGGAGTTGTTGAATAGTTTGAGAAGACAGAATAAAAATGAATTACTTGAGGAGTGACGACATCCATCTTCAGGAGAAATAGGTATAGAGCAGATTATTATCGATCGTCGAAAAAAAATAAATAAATGCCCGTCAGCTCGGGGGAATCATTCGCTAAAATTTTCGGTTGGACTTGCCCTGATGGCGTTGCAGGAGTCGTGAAGCGCCGGGCCGTCATGGAACTGATGAGTACCACACTCATTACTTGAGGAGTGAGGACATCCATCCTCAGGAGGAACAGTTAACAACTTACCACTTTTATATATATATAGTAGGTGTTACTATCACAAAGATCCTATACTTGTATAAGACTAGATTTCATTATAGTCTAACAATTGATAAATCTTATCCTTCTCTAAACAAATTTACTTAAGAAGAGAACCTAAATTCTTAGGGCTTGTTTTTTAACTGATTCTGATTTTATAAAAATTGATTTTGTATAATTAATTCTTGAAAATCATATTTTTCATAATAACTCACGTGTTCTCGTTTATTAGTTAAAAAAAAAACTATTTTAATGAATGCATCAGTGTTCTCAAGAAAAGTTAAAAAGTTGTTTTTGACAAAAATATTATCAATTTACCCTTATATGCTACATAAATAAAATTTTTACTAATTAATTAATTTTTATGTAGATAATTACTTTTCTTGTGAAGATTCAATGTTGGATAAGAAAAAAGGAATTGAGGGAACACAGATGAACTAAAAGTGGGGCAAAAATTGGAGAAGAATAAAGAGACATGCGACATAAAAATTTATCTAACCTTTGGGTAGTAATTATGTTAAAATTTGAAAGGTAGTTTAGTTGATGTTTAGCTTTGTTTTATCCAAAAATTTGAAAATTATGTATTTAAAAATCAGTTGAGAACACAACAAAATAGCGTTTCGAAAATCAAAAACTATAATCAAGTTTCTAAAATGAGTTTAGATCGGATCATATTTTTGTCGTCTACTCTAAAGACGTTTGTGCCCGAAAATATAACATTTGATCAAAGTGAAGAAAACTATGGCCCCGTTTGACAAGTGAATTTTTTGGATGTTTATTTAAAACTTTACTGTAACTTATTGTAGAAGTTGTAGAAAAAATTTTTAAAGTGTGCAAGTTTTTGGATATTTTGAAGTGTATAGTTTAAAAACTTTGTGAAGTTTTTTGAGGTTATTATAGTTAAAATTGTTAAAAAATTTGTAGCAGACAAACTTGACCAAAAACTTACTTAACAAATAAAGGTCTATAGTTAAACCAGCATGTCCAGTAATTTAAGAACTCTAACTTATAGTAGCATAATTTTTTTTCCCCGTGTGGATTGAAGGTATATTATCACTATTTTTACAAATTGTATTCAATTAGGCCAAAAAAAAAAAAAAATAGAGCAGAGAAAGGGAAATTGACACACGCCTCTGATACAGTGGCGGATGCGTCATCAGCATCATTTCTGTTTGTTCCATAATTGATGCTTGAAGCTGGATTGTACTAACTGCATTACGAATGCTCTGCGCTATTAGACTCACCTGGCAAAACGCATTTCTTTCGGCCTGCAATTTGCAGGCTGAATCAATTGTACCGACCGGCGAGCCGGACTGGACTGGGCAGCAAGACTCGAAAAGCCATTTTCTTGGTTATCCTTTTCTTGTCACGTTCTGATCTCATTCTTTGAGAAACTGCGAATATTTACGGACAGTTTGATACTTTATATTGTTCCAATTCTTCTTTAATCTGTTTAAAAAAATGACTTTCTTGTTGCATAGCTATCAGTAGTATGTTCAAAACAAGTCATTTTGCCACAATAAAACTGAAGTTTGTGAGTTGCCTCATCAATTTAGAGATCCTTTCATGAATTATAATTTCGCTAAAGTTACCTCAGTTTATGATTCACTGACAATGGGCAACTATTAACAGTCCTCGTTCCTTATTATTTTGAAGTGACTTTTATGCGGAAACTGATCCTCGTTACATCGTAACGGAAATGGGGCACGGCCATGATGCGGCCTCAAAAATTTGTGCGGTTCAGATTACAGCATGTAACTCGATTTTCACGTCATGTGTGTGGCTCACAAAAAATTGTTCTAAAGTTACTCCATGTGTAAAGAAAGTTACGCGATGTCCAAAAAATATTACGCGCTGTTAGAAAATGCACAAACCGACACAAACGGTTGCACCGTTTGTGC